ATAAAGCGGTACCATTTAGCTTGTTTAGAAGACCAGCTCCTCAAGAACTCACTGGTCCCACCGTTGTAAGGAGACTGGAGAAGCCAGCCGAATACCATCCCATACCCTGCTGAGTCGCATAGCACACATCTCTGATCATCTAGCAAGTTCAGTGTTGTCTCTTTCTGCTGCTGTTTGCGCTCTCCATTATCTTTGTTCTGATCATTCCCCTCAGAGCCTCTGCTTGCGTTTTTTGCTTAACTCTAACTGCGATGACTACCGATGAATTTCCAGAAATGCAGATCTGTGCTGTACAGTTATAAGGCACATAAAGCAACCGTAGAAGAGAGCCATCTGACGAATAGGAACGATGAATTAAATACCTATACTTAGGAGCGTCCACTTTTGAACTGCATTGAGATTGGAGTAGGTGGATTCGACGTTGCACCACTGAAATAATACATAGACTTGGTTTGTTGAGATGCCAAGCATGGAGTTATGAGAGTTTCAGGTTCTTGCCTAAGTTCCAAGTAACTTGTGAAGTGATGAGTTTACAAAACTGAGGTTTTCGACAGCCTTAAGTCCCTCCCTTAAAATATCCATCAATCCGTGGGAAAGGCATAGAAATTTGTTGAGTGTTAGCTCATTTCAAGTGCGAAAGTATCATGAGGACAAACTGCGCCAGCAAATTTTAATCACCTCAACCATCGGCTGTTCAGGTTTTGTTCTATTTGCGAATGTTCCGAAGATATCCAGTTCACAGAACAGCTGTCCTTCGCAAGGGCCAATAAAATGTGTGATCGGATAAAGGGTGGCATTTTCTTCATTTTGGTGATATTTCATCTGAAATCGTACTATTCAGCCTTCGCAAGCGCTAAAGGATTGAATGTTGCAATCGCACTGGGAACTGTCAAAAAAAACTATGTCAATATCATAATGTATCCGTAGAATTATTCTGACAAGGGAACCCCAACAGGTCGACCCGGCCGTTTGCAATGAGATGTACACATGTGGACGTGTCTTGAGCCGCTGAATCCAAATCTACCCTCCGTTTTTGCGGAACGATTCTCTGAACGGAGTTATGGGGCTTTTTCCACCGCATTTACCACGCAACAGGTCGTGGGATCGAATCCCTGCTGGGCTTCACTTTTTTGCTTCCTGCGCAAACGTGGCAAAATGTGGTTTTGCTTTCACTACTACTTTCCCCTCCCCCCCCCCCCCCCCCCCCCCAAAGTGCTCACCTAATCTTGCCTGAAGAAAACTTTGCGTCCATTTATGAATGCGCCTAGGCACCTTGTAGAAGCCTTGTAGTGCAGGAAAATATTGGGGTGTACAGGTGCCCGTCGTGCGCGATACAGGCGTTTTCACGCTCAGCGAGTGCCATATTCGTGTTCAGCGGGTCAAAATACCTTTATACACAAGTTGCTAGCCAAATCTGGCATTTTGACCTGATTTCCATAATTGAACCATCCATGGGTTAGTTCAGCTGATGTTCACACCTATTCAGCTGCAGATACATTTGCCTGCACAACGCCTTGTCTTGCACCTTCTTACGCATTCATTTTGTTACTGCTCCAGTTTTCCTGGTATATAGAAGAAAATTCCGGCCAAAGACAGGCAATCGACAAGAGACTGGCCCTGGAACTAGTGGTGACCACCATCGGATCAACTGCTACCGGACTTTTGAAGATAGGTCAAGACCTCATATCTGGCTAGAAACCTGTCCCCAAGGGTAATTTTGCTCCCTGAACACGAATATGCACCCAACTTGACGTTGATTGCATTTCTGGACTTTAAACATGAGACATTCCCCACAGCAAATTGAAAATGCAATAAAATAAAAATAATAAAAATTAAAAAAATACCCCGTTCAGAGATCGTTTCTGCCAAATTTCGAAGGCTAGATTTCGAGATTTAGCGCTCCAAAAACACGTCTAGTGAACTATATTTCATTACGAATGGCCACTTGGACCTGACGACCTTCCCTAGTAGTAGTGGCGACCTTCTCCATTCCTCGATGCGAGCTCTCTAGAAACTTCGCGTCATTCTCATCTTTGGATGTGTGCTCATTTCAAGTGTGCAGAAGGTTGTATATCAGATTGTGGGTAGCAATGATCGTTCCATTGTCAAATAATTATAGGAATTCAGGTCAACTGGGCCAACAGAAGTGTTCTGTGGCTATCTATTGTGAATGTTCTGAACAAAGCATAATAATGTCGGGGTGTCAAGTTTATTCCAACAGTGCGCTCTGTTCTATATTCTCCAGTGCACTATATCCACTTAGGCCATCGCGGTCGACCTTGCCATGAGGCAGACCATCCTTTCAACTTATACAACGGAGCAAAGATTTGATGGTCCGTAACTCCGTTCAGAGAATCGTTCCGCAAAAACGGAGAGTAGATTTGGATTCAGCGGCTCGAGGTAGCCCCATTATCTACTTTCTCATTGCAATGGTCGGGCTGATCCTGTGGGGTTCCCTTGTGAGGGTATATGGAGTACGACTGGAAGTAAGTGCTTATGATCGCTGTGCGATTTAGCAACTTCGATAACACCGCGGCTGGATCTGTATTCCTGACGACTTGATAAACCTATTTATCCTTTGATATCTCCATTATGGAGGAAAGAACGCATACATTGTGGCTATGCTGAATGTCTCATATAGTGATTTCGTGCTCATCAATGCCAAATTCGATTCACTAATGCATTTTGGGGCTTCTTACCGCTGAGTAGACATAGTACTTCAGACCACTTATCCATTTGCATTCTGGGGCAGATTTATTCAGACACTGAAGTTTGATATTCATGTGCATATTAATGTCGTTGAAGATAGACCCGCCTCGGATCTTCTGCAGTTCATTTCCAATGTCAAGGTTGTTCATCAACAGAGTCTCGTCTAAAAACAAAAATTCTTTTTCTGCTTCTCGAACTAGGTTCAGAAATTCGTAAAGCTGACACCGAATGCTTCTATCCAATTCTTGAGGGAATTTTTGAGGTTATGGAGCACCTAACTATCACAGTGGCCTTCATTGTGAGAGTTCCAAAACTTATGCCTGCGTCTGCGAGTGCTCAGCTCTCAATCTTATTGGTTACTTCAACAATCTAATTTGTAATACTCTGTAGAACAGCTCTGCTGGACATTTGAGAGTAGAAGCGCTATATTACATGAGACCTGTACTCACTGAAAAGGCCATTCTGATAGGCTTGCACTTGATCGTTAACAGCGGTCATCTGATTGAAAAGTTCATCGCTGAACCACTTGTTCACGGCTCTCAAGGTGTCGTTTGCATGTATTTGCTAAAAAAATGATGAAAAATGGAACAAAGTCTCTCCGCTCAAAGACGGGACGCACGCTTACCTGTAAGGTTTGTCTTATCCACGAGCTAGATGGGACAACGTACGGCTGCACAAGGGTACAATCTTTGCACTTGGTAGTGCATGGCAGTGAAGTTGGACGGTTGTTGTTAGCTTGCATTTCCAAGTGACAAGTGCAGTACCCTTACCTACCATAAAGTCCCCATCATTGCGGACTGTCGGAGGCGGCGTGAGCAGCGCGGTTCGAGTCCGCGTTCGGCTCCCTTGCTCTACCAATGGCGATCGGGTAGAATCGATTTAGGAAGGAAACAACCAATGATGGAAACGCCGCAATTAAGAAGCGCTGATTGCGAGCCGATTGCCGTGACATTAAGATAGCTGCAGACCTACCAACTTTGCTCGAGGATGAGATCAACCTAATAGGGGATAGAATTTCTTCAGAGGCACATTTCGCGATTATCCAAGAATGGAATCCCTCCTTTGTAAAGCTTTCGGTGAGCAATCTCACAGTATCTAACACCTCGACAGAATGACCAGGCTCATAAGTTGGAGGGAAGCCATCCGTAGAATTCGCCACACCCTTCTGTGGCCGGAATAAGCCAGCGGTCCTATATCTATAAACCCAGGACTGACGCTTTTCGTTCATACTGTGTAGAACGACATGTCTTCTCTTTCGGATTCTAGCTCATTGTCCTCTTTTCTCAACTTTGTCCTTGACCACTAGACCGCGCAGCAGTGATTTGCTTATTGAATGCTTTGATGCCGCAGCCTTATTCAGTATTCTTTTACAACACTTTCGTTCACTCGCATCTCTGTTGGTATACTGGAAATCCCTGAGATCGGGTAGGCGTGGTTGCATGCTTCAACTTAACCTGAAGGTGTCTATGCTTCTGGTGAGATATTTTCATCTTGACACAATTGTTGTCGTGTCTCTGTCCAACACAGAACAAGATGACAGTTGTCCCAGACTGGAATATTCCACGAGTAACCAGTTCCGTGCCATGTTCAAATGCCACGCCTACTCTGGCTCAGGGATAAGGAGTGTACTCTTGTTGTTGGCGGCACGCTAAATGTACTATTCTCGGAAAGAAAGAAGATCTACCCTGTCTACTCTACCCCGCTCCGCAGTAAAACTTAGTACGCGTACGAGGCAAATATGACGGTGGTCGTACCCAGATGCTCCTTTGGGGGTGGTGACCCAGTGATGCCACCCCC